ATATCTTCAAATATATAAAATTCTCGTGTCACAGTTTTCGTTGCCATACTCCTCCGAAACGGCTTGACCGATTTTGATGAAATTCTTTGTGCTTATTCGGTATCTATGAGAATCGGCCAACATCTATTTTTCATCCCCCTAAATGTTAGCGGTAGTCCACCCCTAAATTTTCTTTTTATTTTTTAGACAAAATTTTTAATTTCTATTTTTTTTATGATACAGCATACAAAAATACATGCAACCCTAAATTTTTATCCCTCTACGCAGACTTAGTCGCGGGCAGCAGCTAGTTGTCTATAAAAATAGTTTCGTTAACCGTCCTCACCGTGCGTAGTGAACGAAACTCTGAACGTACTCTATCACTCCCAAAATATCGACCACCACTGGCGCGTCGGAAACGGGGTCAAAAGGAGGGCGGACGAAGGGAGTCACTCAATCCTCGTCCACAGTACTCCAGTGCCTTTTGTGACCGACTCAGACGTGCGCATGTCCAGTGTAGAGCCGGCTGGGCGGCACAAAGAATGCAACATTGTTTTTTTTTTTCCTCACGAATGGCAACTGACTTTTCAAAAGGTTGTCAACGCATCTGCAAACCCTCGGGTGTAGCAGATGTCCATGTGCGGTGGTATTCTTAACATCAGGTGAACCCGATTCAGCCGATGGCGAGTTATCGCTAAGGTTACGGGCGCATTGCCAATCTAGTGTGGGCTCCGGTTAGAAGTGCAGACTGCATTGTATTACGTAGTCGGACAGTACGATTTTGTCGATATGGAATGCCATGAAAAGACCGGCTTGAAGTGAAAGTATTATTTTTTTTATGGGAGAAGGTGGCATACGAGCTGGTGGTACACCTGATGTTAAGTGATGACGCCACATTTACAACGCCCGCAGGGTTGCAGATGCTTTGCCCCGGCTACTTCAACCAAGAGACGAAATGCGAAAGTATAACATTTCCACTTCACGCCGGTCTTCTGCGAGCTCGTGGTACTTACCCGGTGAACAGAAGAGACTGTTGCTAGGCCCTACCACAGTACTTTCGCCTCTCGTCCGGTAAGTGAGGTAACCGGGGCGCATTTATCTCTTGTTTGGCAACGTATCTGCAACCGATCACGTCAACTCAAAGTATATTTATTCAATATAGGCCTAACTTAAGCTCTCATTGAACGTCAACAAAAAATCTACCACTGGTTCACTGAACTAGACCTGAACAGAGAAGAACCGGCAAGGAACTCTGCGGTCTTGTTCTTTTTGTTATTTTTTTTTTGATGCAATTATATACTATAACTTATACACTTATTTAGTATTATAAAATAGATTTTTTAGAATTTAGTATAAAATCAGCAGCAGCCAGGGGTCTTGCAAGTGCAGAGCAAGAGTCATTTCCAAACATCCTTGTCCTCAATGTATTCTTGGATATTATAGTAGGCCCTTGCCATTAAGGTAGCTTTTACAAATTGTTTGAAATTGTTTATACTTAGTTGTTTGTGGATGTCACCTATTTTATTATAAAAGTTGATGCATCTTCCAATAAACGACTTGTAGATTATCAGATAACATCACGTGGAACCGCCATCTTACAATGAAATGACGCACACTTTTCCGCGCTAATACCGTTCTGTAACTCGTTATCTTTGCTCGCTGTCCGCTTTTTCCGCGCCCCAATATCGCCTCGATTGCGCTTTGTGTTTGGAAAATTCGTTTTCACGGTGTACCGTCTTCTGGTCGTATAGCATACGCGCGGAGCCCTGTTGTGCGGAGGAGCTTTTTTCGAAGTCGAATCGACTGGACATCGACGTATAGCGCGGCGGCTTGTACGAGCGAGCAATTTGGTTCGCTAATTCTTTTATGACGAAGTTAAATGAAACTGTTTCACTGATTTCTTCGCGTTTCAATGACACGGGTCAGTCTGTCTCGTCACCATGAACGCTGCAGATGGTTCTAAAAATATCTTTGATATTGCTATATCGGATTATAGTAATTGTACACATCAAGCTGTGTTATATTTACTACTAGCTGCTGCCCGCAACTACGTCTGCGTAGAATAGGCTGAATGCGTAACTTTCACACAGAAAGACAGATATACATAAAATATGTATATAAATCATAGCCTATGTCTTATTCAGATGTTTAAGCTATAATATTGTAAAGTTTTATTAAAATCCATTCAGTAGCATTTGCGTGAAAGAGTAACAAACATCAATCCATATATACAAACTTTCGCCTTTATAATATTAGTAAGGATGTGGTAGAGGAACTACTGCGGAACGGGGAAGTACCGCAGCCTCACTGAAGATCAGTGTGAAGCGGAGGTATTACACTTTGGCGTTTCGCCTGGTGAGTGAGCTAACCGGTGCCAACTTTTTTAAAGTTGTCAAACGCATCGGGGGTCTTAGATGTCAATGGGCGACGGTCTTCACTTAATATTAGGCGAACCGTCTGTTTGTTTGACAATTCTACACATTAAAAAAAAATTTGTGTTGCGCAAAAGTATAATGCTGTAGCGATCGATCTTCATTTACAATGTGAACATATTGTATTCCCCCTTTGTATTGCGCAGTTCTCAAATTGATACGGCTTTAGGCAGCGGTGATTTGTCATTCAGTAATCCAGATTGACTATTTCTATCTGGATTACTCAATGACATCTCTACACAATAACGGTACTGTTTCCTACGCTAAACTATTTCGAAGTAGCTCTGTTTGAGTTATTTTTTATGCTATTCCTTTATACTCACTCTTATGTAAACTGTGTTTGTGTTTCTGTCATTGTTATGAATGTGGTGCTACTGAATTTCTTTCTACTATAGTGTTGTAAAACTCGGAATTAGAGTGATATCGTTTGTTGGTTGGAGTCGGCGAGTTTTTCTTTTAAGCACGGTATGCAGATCAAATTAGTTCAACTTGTTTACAGCGTTCAGTGGTCTTGGTGGATCAGCTGAGCCCAAGAGTCACAATCTGAATCATTAGCAAAGTAAACGGGGGTATTTTATTCACCTACAACACGTATTCAGTCCGAAAGTGCTCTGAAGTAATCTGTTCGTCAGGCTGTTTGTCAGACTTGCTCGATGCAAACTTTTTTTAGTAAGTGTTCTTTAGAGATTGCCATTGAAGCAAGACTCAACTCTTGTGTCAGTCTTCCGGGAACGAAGTTCGCCTTGAATCTGAATCTCTGACAGAATACACATAACATATGGTTGATAGCAGTGATCGAACAGTACGCGTTCCAATACGCTTTCTGTAAAATTTTGTACTCCGTTTTTAATTTTTTGTTTATTTGTACATATAAGAGAGAGAGAGGGAAGGTAAACATGTTACTTTTTATTCGACATCCAACAGCCGTTGTCAAAGTCAAGTCCGTCTGGTTATGTCTGGTTATCTTTGATTTGGTTGAACTTTCTTGCGATCACATACGAAACAGGCCAGATTCCTTTCAAAGAATGCGGAGAGCTCATTTCATGAAAACTACTTCCCTTCAACATAATCTTCGCATTAATTTATACTAGCTACTTCTTATTATTAATGTATGCATGGCAATAAATAAACTCTACAAACCTCACTACTTCAATAACTATTCGACTATGCAATCATGTTAAAGGTCATTCTATCAAATTTAATTATCGATTTGCCGCGCGGACATAATGAATGTTGCATATTGTTAATATTAATCCGCTTCGAACGCCGACACGATTCCATTCTCGAAATAAACTACTTAAAATTTGCTACAGTTTACATGATAAATACATTGCAATTAGGGTTGCCACATATTTAATGTACGAGATTGATTTATAACTGAAATATAGCTCATATTCTAATAATATACGTTTACTATCTGTTCAGTTTACGAATTTGTGTCTTTATATATATGACGGAATGTATTACGTCAAGTCAAAAGTTTTTGGGCCTTTGAATATATGGCAATTCTAATTGTTGAAAATGCCACAACTCTCAATGACTCAAAACACATTCGAACATACTTTTATGGCATGAAACGGACACACAATAAATTCAATCATTCAATGAACATACATAGGCAAGTATCGTTCACCTTCATGACTGTTAAATCATCGTGCAATATACATTTGAGGGATTATATTGTTCCATATAAAGTGTACAATATTCTCTGGTGGGGTCACACAACTGCTTCATGATCAGGCTCGTCCGAGAAAGTACCACGGCCTCACAGAAGACTGACGTGAAGTGGAAGTATTAAATTTTCGCGTTTCGTCTGGTGAGTGAGGTAACGGTGTTGTTAAAGGTTGTCAACGTATCAGCAAGCCATCGGGTGTTGTAGATCAAAAGCTGCGGTATTTATTTAACATCATGTGAAGTGGAAAAGAGGTAAAACTCTTGCCCACTTTGCAACTTTTATTTATGTAAAAAGTGAACTTCACAATTCAAAAGAGGAATAAAGCGCTGTGTTCACTCATATATGTACATAAACTCACACGCGCACACTGGTGTTTTCAGTTTCCTAACTCCTCATTTCTCCAAAGTGCCTCAGATATTCTACCAACGATCTATTCGGGTGCGAATAAAGTCAACATCACTTCATAACCACTCACTCACCGCACACTGACTCACAGACTATTTCGGAAGGAGCGTGCAAAAGCGCCGTGAAAATACAATGTTAAACGCTGGCTGTTTACTTTTGCCCTCTCCTCCGCGATGTGAACTTCCACATCTGGTGACGATGCTCATGAAACCATGGTACCCTCACGACGAGAGCGTCTTGCTTCGGCTGATTCGGTTAACTGTAATCTATTTAGTTCCCTATTGGGCTTTATATGGGGTTATTGACAATTTGCGGATCACATTTGTCCCTAGTTCTTACTAGACTTGAGATCTATTACATTACACGAATAGTGTTATAATATTCGTAGTTTATTCGTACTAAGAGTTTTCAGCTCTGCATCTTTATTGTATAAACGTTACTACAAATTTGTTACTGTAGTTTACGAACACTTAGAATTATTACTTCAACTTGAAGCAAAAGCTGTAGCGATGCACATAGGTAATTTTTTTTTAGTTGTTAACATATTTTCAATCTCTATATGTTTAACTTTATTTGCTAGTACCATATATTTTTGAATGCGTAATCTAAAACGATGTTTTATTATTTAATTATCGAATTAACAATTGGACATTTTTTGTCCGAAAATCGTGTTGAAGAAAGTTGTCGGAATGCTATACCGTTCAGCCGAAGCATTGCGCTGTCCCGTTCCCCGTGCCCGTAATGACGCGCCGTTTGCCCCGCAGCGGTGGAGCCGACGTACCACTTCAAGGTGCTGGTGCCGTCGATGGTGGCCGGCGCCATCATCGGCAAGGGCGGCGAGACCATCGCCCAGCTGCAGAAGGACACCGGCGCCAGGGTCAAGATGTCCAAATCGCACGACTTCTATCCCGGTGAGTCTAGATTCTCTCACGGTCTTATTATTCACTAGCTTTTCGCCCGCGGCTTCGCTCGCGATGATATGATAAAATAAATATCTACCCCCTTTAAAAACCCTTTATAACCCTTTTTCCAATTAAAAATCACCTATGTCCTTTCTCAGGTTCTAGACTATCTGTATACCAAATTTCATTTGAATTGGTTCAGTAGTTTCGGCGTGAAAGCGAGACAGACAGACAGATTTATCGCATTTATAATATTAAGTATGGATTACAGATAGTGGAAGATACTTACGTTCTAGACTTATGTATAGTAAAGAGGGCTGGTTCTTTTCTCGCTCAATGGTTACCATAACTAATCAGAGGGGGGAAATGCAGCTAATCTTCTTGGCACCATTCCGCGTGGTTTAAGTTTTCGTTGTTAGATATTACGTCATGTAATTTAATTAGTTTATTAAATATTATATTGTAATATGTTTTTAAGTACTATTTTTTCGATGAATTATACTTTCCGATGATTGGGTAATAAGGCAGTGTGGTCAGTCTAAAACTTACCTTTTAGGTTCTTAGTGGTGTTTCATGGTATTAAAATTTATTTCAATCCTACCACCGATTCATTGTAAAGCACATCATGTAGGGTTCTAGTAATATTAGCTTCTAATATTACGGCACGTCTTCTAGATTGTACTAGACATTAAATGCCACAAAGATTATAATCGGTATCAACGTAAAAAGCGTTTAATTCAACTTATGCTTACGTTTACAAAACGCTCGGTCAAATATTTACTGTCTACATAACGTTTGCTGCTCTTAATTTCATACCTAAATAATTTCGTGTACTGATATGATTAAAAAAAAGATAACAATACCGCGGAGTTTCTTAGTGGTTCTTTACTGGACAGGTTTAGTTTAGTACCCGGTGGTAGCTGTTTGACGTTCAATGAGAACTTAAAATAGGCGTACTTTGGATTAAGAAATCTTGACTTTGCCTTTGAACGGATTTAGTCTTCGTATTAAATTGTCATCGAAGCGTGCACTCGGTTATTCTAGTTTACGTTCCGTACCTGATGTAATTCGGCATAAGTGTTTCGAAAGCAAACAATGGCGTAAATGCAACCCGTTGCGCCATTCTCCTTCAGCGCAGCACCGAGCCGCCGGCCGCGATGGTCGTCTCTGTCTGGAGCCATTGAGAGTAATTGACAGAAAGAGCTCTCAATAACGCGAGGGAAATGACAAAAGCCCACCCACAATTTCACTATTCCGGGCCGCCGTAATGGCCGCCCAAGTCTTGAATTGAAAATCATGAATTATGGCGAACACAAGCGATTCGTGCTGTCGGGGTGTGCGTTGACCCAGTTGTGTCAGGATTCTCGACCCGAGGGGCGCTTTGTTCGCCGAGACCTACTTACGGGCTGGGGCGGCCGTCTGCTCGGGCTTTTTGCGGACACGTCCTAGTTTTGCGGAGCCCGGGGCTCGGCGACTGCGCGAGGGTGGCGGGGGCGACTGCTCGGTTTTTGTTACGGCAGCGATCTCCTCGAGTCTCGCCTTTGTTTACTCTTAAAGTTTTTAGATCGCACCAATGTGACAGGTCGATGCCGTGTTTGCAACTTTAGATTTATCTAAAGGCTTGGGTGATGAGATAATTCCGTTTTTGGGGCTTTTCAACGTTTTGTACTCAAATATAGCGCAATGTTAATGTTAGCGCCATTAATTTTTGACTTTTATCGTAACTTAACTATTATGATGCGATTAAAAACTCATTATACGGTACACTATCGATCACAAATGCAATTTTAATTTTCGATAGGTTTTAAATCGTCTTTGTTCGGAATTTTTGGAACAAGAAATTTGAACACTGCTCGTTAGGAGCTAGATTAAATTACGATTTATTTCAACAATCATTATTTAATTTTGTCACATTGAACTTAGAATATAATTGTATTCAGTTGTGACATAAAAACAGGAAACGATTTAGAAGGCACTATATCAATCTTATTTCAAATTTCACAATTCATTTTTCGGTTGGCGAAGATGTTAAGCGGATTCTGAGCTGCGGGTTGTCCCACCCGAGACAAAAAAATCCGTCTTACAGATAAAACTGCTCCGGGTCTGGGTGTTCGATTATGGTATATTAATATAGGAATAAAAACAAGAAAAAAAATTATGATAACCCAATATTATGACCTCTCCTTTACCGTCGATCTTTCTTTACCTAAATGAATGTACACGTCCCCGATTAATTTAATAGATGGTGGCACTAAACAAATCTGACCTTTGCCGTCCGCCGCGAAGTGACGTCGCGTGCTCAAGCTATCGTTGTAGAACAAAACGCTGTCGATACAAACGCATCGCAGCGATGGAGCGAGCGACCTTCGCAATCGCTCTAATCGTAAGTCGATTAAAACCACGCCGCTTCCTCGTTATTGTCTGCGGTACTGGCGACATCTCTCGCGTGCCGCAAGAGTTATTTATCTCCAGAAAAAAAAAACTCGTACAAGAGTGTAGTAAAGCAGCTGTAGTTGGTCGTAGCGTTGGTCGAGAGGGGCTAAGCGGAGTTTTTAGTATGTTCATCCGTCCACTTCCTTTCGTCCGTTTGATGTTCCGTTTTGATAATGACGAGACGGTAACGAGTTCTTTTCAACCTTAACGACATTCACGATGAGAGCGAGTGCGTTTCGGCGATTTTATCAAGGAAAAAGCAGGACCGTCATAGTGTAGGGCGAACCCTCCCCAGATGAAGTGACGACTAGACGGTAGGAGTGACGTCATGGTAGTCTGTGAGGGAAGCCTATGTTTAACAGTTGTTTAAAGTAATTCGTTTCACAAACGCCAATTCGCCAAAGTTTTGGCCCCCTGTAGCACGATCCGTAGCGCCACGTATCACTTAAAGCAGTACGTCTGCATTGCAGTCAATTATTGCGATTATTCCTTTCCCATCTTTCTCTGGATTTATCTCGAGTTGCTCGTGTAATTCTGTAATAATTTTTACAAAGGTTACAGATATGTCTTCTCGCTTGGTCCTAACGTCCATCCAGGACGATGTATTTAGCCTTTAATGATAGCTTCTAGCATTATCGCAGCTTATTGCTGAACAATAAAAGCAAACACATATAGTTTTCCTCCTTCATTATAATAGTGTAGATATATTCCGCAAACACGAGAGACTGGAGCTTTTTACGAACTGGAGCGTTTTACGTTGGCAAAGTTCGCCAACTCGGCAGCCGCATTGCGGCATACAGCCGCGCGTACGAACTTTACTTTTGCGGAGCTACAGCGGACCTTTCGCGTCCCAGCCTGCTCACAGACGCCCTTTCATCTCGATAAAGAATGTTGAATGCGAGAGTTTTCTTAGTTACGGCGCGACAAGTGCACCCGACAACACCGCTTGAAAATAATTCTATATTTTCTAACGCCCTGCCGCTCAACTCACCGAGCGTTAGTTCTAAAGCCGCCGCGTACGTTTTTTCCTGTTTGAAAAGGAAATAGAATGAAAAAAATGCTTTGCAACTAGAGGCTTGTAAGTGAAACGGTGAATGGCTGAACTCTTCACACGCGCCACATGTATTACAACCCCCTTCTCGATCTTTCTTTTCAATGAAAGAGGCGTCAAATAACGGGCATTGAACATGTAGGCAAGTAGGGCTGTGACTGGAATGCAATGATTTATGACTGAACTTCGCGAATTAATGAAATTAACGCCCGCTAAATATGCTCATGTCTGCTGAATGCAGTTTGGGTTAAGTAACATTTCTATCACTGTTCGATTTTTAGGCGATTTTTTTTTAATAGATACAGTGTATGGATTGGAAAAAACCATAGCCACCGTGAACAGACAGATTATATATATTATTCTCCGTCTCCGGATGGTCCAAGCAGTCGATATTTAAACAACGAAGATGCGGGCAACGACTGGTTATTTGAGTTTTTATTCCCGACGCTCGAGAAATGTCCGATGCAGTTGGAATTGCAAAGTTTTGTTAAACAACATTTCCACAACGTAGCCTTTCCTCGAAACTAGGCGAAAAACAAGGCAAAGTCGATTAAAAAGCGCACTGCGCTGTCGCGTCTCTTGCGGCGGTCGCGGCCTCCTCGGCGCTGTTGTCTGACTTCTAGCCATTCCGATGGCGCGATATTCTCCCTCCTATTTCTGCGAGTTCATCAATTACGGACCTTTTATTTATATTTATACTAACTGACTCGGCAAACGTTGTTTTGCCATATAAATTATTTCTAGAGGAATCGGAACGCATGCATAAACTGTTTGACAGTTTACACAGACATAGTTGACAGTTTGACAGGTACAGTTTGTATTGGATAATAAAATTGTTGCTATTTCGATTTTCTATGCAATTTTTCCATAATTTCTCATCGTTTAAACCATCCATGGACTACCACAAATATTTCGAAACCAAAATTAGCCAAATCGGTCCCACCGTTCTCCAGTTTTAGCAAGACTAACGAACAGCAATCCATTTTTATATCAAAGATTTTCCGATTTATTTATGTGTAAAAAAATGGATGGATTAAATGCCATCAGCATTATCTACCATTCCACTTTTGTTGCGGGCCCTATCATGCAATAAGCTATCTATATCAAGAAGCTTGTTGTTTCACTCTCTCTCTTTCTTTCTCCGCCTTTCACTGGACACTAATTTTATTCCAATGATATTGTATCGCAGCCACTCCGCTCACGGGATTTCTTTACATACATGGACTGTTCTATGGTCATTTTAGGGGCATGAATTTCTCGAACTGAACCTCTGTCATAGAATTTTTTTTCCGGTTGTGGCGTACTTTCATAATTTATTATTTGAATAGTACTTATGCAGATTACATTTTTTCCTAAATGTAATCTCATTGAAGCGAAGTTCCTAGTGTTTATTGAGCTGAAATGATTGATTACTCCACTCGACTGTGTGACTTCATTGCAAATTGGTAAAAATCTCAACTTTTCCTAAAAAAAAATTGTAGATAAAAACATATTGCCGTCTCACAAAAGCTTCTCAATGTCGTAT